CTGTTTGCGTGAATTTGTTCTAAGCCAAGCCAATTTATTTGGAACTTCCACTGCTATCATTACTGCATCTAGATTTCTCCTTTACTGCCATTAGCACTTGGTCTTTTATCTTGGTACTCTCACCATCTGTTCCACAAAACATTAACTTTTTCTCTCTACAGATGTTGTCAGATCTGCTGATTTTCTGTAACATTCTGTTTCCTCTAAAGTCAAACAGTTTTTTTTTTATTATTTCTGCTGACCAAACAGAATTGCTGTCTTCTATTTGTGATATTCATTTATTAGGTTTGAAGATTTTAATCCTGTTTTAAAGATGGCTTCCTCTGCCTGGTTCTCGACTGCAATGTGAAACACATCAGCCTTGAGCTAAAATGGAATTGCTATCCTTGACCTCAAATCCCTTCCAAATTACAACAGCAACAAGACTGTTTACAAACCAACCAATATCTACAAGTACCTTTCAGGGTCTTGATTAGACTCAGGTTCTACTCGTGGTAGCTTTCAATATTGCTACCACTGCCTTCAGGCATAAATTTTTTGCAGCTCCCTCCAAGTAAAACAAACCATGCTTTCTAGATCTCTAACAATAAAACAAGGATTAGAATCTTGTTTCAGAGATAGTAGGAACTGCAGATGCTGGAGAATCCGAGATAACCAGGTGTAGAGCTGGATGAACACAGCAGGCCAAGCAGCAGAATCTGGCAGACTGCTGAACAAGTTGTATGACTCCCTTAGTTTATGCTACTTTGAAAGATACAGCCCTAAACTATAATAATCTTATAAGCATCATAATTAAAATACATTTCACAGATGCTGTCAGACCAATTGAGTATTTTGAACAATTTCTGATTTTAGTCCAGATTTCCAAGGTAGCTCACTACCACCTTTGAGGGCAATTAGGATAGGCAATAAATGCAGGTTAAGCTAAGACCTCCCAAAATCCATGAAAGAATTTAAAAACTGAATTGAAACACACTTATTACCCAACACAATATTAAAACAAGATGCAATCAGCTCCCAATTATGCTACTTTGATCAGTAACGTCCTGGGTTCAATCCCCCACGTTCCATTTGTTAATCTCAAGTAAGTAACAACAGGGACATGATAATTTACCACAGTCTCTCAGGCAAAAGAAAATAAGTGATTCTGCAGTTCCTAGTCCCAAATTTTTTCCAGCCACATGTTCTGAAAATGCTCCGAAGAGGAAAACAGTGTTGATACCAGCTGTGATGACTTTCATTCTTAAATATCCTGTCACTCACAATTCAGGTCTACCAAAAATAACAACCAACACACAAGCAAGGGATATCATTTATGCTCATGAGACAAGGATTTATTGTCCTTAGGAAGATACTAGTCTCAGGTGATGTTTGGTAGAGACTTGCAGAATTTTGATCCAGCAACAACAGATGTTTCCCAGGACTTTGTGGGGAGTTAGTGAAGTGATTGTTGGGCTCCTTACTGAGGCTGAGGTTCCGAAAGATTGGAGGTTGGCTAATGTGGTGCCATTATTTAAGAAAGGCCCTAAGGAAAAGCCAGGAAGCTACAGATTGGCGAGCTTTAAGTCACTGGTGGCTAAGCTGCTGAGGGGATTCTGGGGACTGAATTTACATGCTTTTGGAAAGGCAAGGACTGATTAGGGATAGTCAACATAGCTTTGTGCATGGGAAATAATGTCTCACTAACTTGATTGAGATTTTTGAAGTGACAAAGAATATCTATGAAGGCACAGCAGTGGATGTTGTCTATACGAACATAAGGCATTTGACAAGGTTTTTCATGGTAGACCGGTTAGTAAAGTTAGATTACATGGGATCCAGTGGGAGCTAGCCAATTGGGTACAAAATTGAAGGCAAAAGATAAAGGGTGGTGGTAGAGGGTGGCTTTTCGGATTGGAGGCCTGTTACCAGGGGGGTGCCACAAGGATTAGTGCTGGGATCACTGCTTTTCGTCATTTATATAAATGATCTGGATGTGAACATAGGAGATACGGTTGCTAAGTTTGCAGATGACACCAAAATAGGTGGTATAGTAGACAGTGAAGAAGATTATGTCACAGTACAACTGACCCTTGTTCAGATGGGCCAATAGACAGAGGAGTAGCAGATGGAGTTTAATTTGGATAAATATGAGGTTTGCATTTTAAGGCAAACCAGGGCAGGACTTACATAGTTAATGGCAGGACCCTGGGGAGTGCTGCCTTACAAAAAGATCTAGTGGTGCAGGCACATAGTTCCTTGAAGTAAAGTTGCAAGTAGACAGGGTGGTGAAGGCAGCGTTTGGCACACTTGCCTTCATTGGTCAGTACACTGAATGTATGTTTTGGCCGAGAGCACTATCCTGAGAAACTCCTGCAGCAAGTCCAGGACCCAAGGTAATTAGTCTCCAAAAACCACAACTACCTAGTTAAGACTCCAAACACAGAAGTACTTCCCACATCCATTCCCACTCCTACCCCACATCTCAATTCCTATTTTACTTGCATTCCTGACTGATGTCATGCTCAATCAAATGTCATCTTGATGACTCTGATCTCAATCTTAAATTCCATTCTTGCATCTGTGTTTGGACCAAGGTTATAAAGGAGGTCTAGAGTTAGGTGATGCTGTTGGAAGCTACATTAAAAGCATTGGCAAGCAGGTTATCAGAAGGAGACAAAACTATAATCTTGAACAGAAACACAAGATGACAACTATCTCATTTTCAGCAGTTCTACAGTAGTGAACAAATATGGGGACATAGGGAGAGTAATAACGAGAAAAGTAAGTGGAGGTGATCAAAGGCCATTTTTGCACAGAATTAAGCGGGAGCAGCTAATCACTTTTCTTAAATTGTGTTAAGTCCCAGCATGATGCAATTTTCAATCTAAACAAAATTCAAGGTGCAAAGGTAGGGGCTCAAAAATTCAGGTTTCTGTCCTAATTTACATCAATTTAAGTAGAAAGCCCTTCATATTAGATGCTTCTGCAAAACATTTCAGACAGCAGCTATACAAGACAATGCATCAGATGAGCCCCTGGAATGAAGTTCTGAATGATATCCAAATATAGTACATGCCTGGTTATGTGAAGCTGTGGTAATTTAGACTAATTATGTTAAGAGTACTACACTGATGAGAAACAATGCACTGGAGGATAAAGCACTTTTGCCCAGAGGCAGATGGTGAGTTCCAAATACATACATAAAGCTGCTTAAAACAAAAAGGCATTGAGCAAACCTTGCATTTTCTATTTTACCTCTTCTCCTTGATAAATGAGTGGTTATGCAGTAAAGTTGTTTCCAGAACTCCACATAACCCCATCGCAGGAAAAGAGCATTTTCAGCTCTTGCCAACTACTCTGCATTCTACATGTCTCTAAACTTTTGACCTTTGTCAAATAGTGTTTCAGAAAATAAAACAGCCAATCAAGAAAATAGCACAATACTGCGTACACTTTGACCCAATTCAAAGTATTTTTTTTGTCTTATTTTGTGTGTGGCTGTGGGCATAATCTACAATTGATTCAACATGCTGCTTGTATACCTTATGTATAAAACCTCAAGGCAATGGTGCTGTAACTAACTAAAGTACATAAATAATTCATGTTTCTCAATTTAGGATAGATAACATGATTTAGTTAAAACACCTACATAACAAGTAAGACTGAAAAAACTTGACAACAAAAGAATTAGATTTTTACACACAAGTTAAAACATATGATGATTTAATTGCAGACAGACAGCCTAGCTTGCATCCCTTGCACCTGGAGTTGTTGCTTGGTTTTCAGTAGCATGTTCCATAAGTTATAGTTACACAAAGAATGGTGACTGATCAACAAAGACTACTTTTCCTGTATAGCAGAATGTTTTGTGCCAAATCTATATCATTGCCAAAATAATTTACATTATGCAGGCCTAAATTTAGATCTGATCCAGATACTGGGGCACCAAAATGAGGATTTTAAGAATTCCACCCCAATGCTCCAAGTCCTTTAATTGTCCACTCTACCTAAGGAAATGCCTGATTCACTTGAGCTTTCTAAGTGATTAGTACCAAAAGGTTAAGATAATGCAATCAAATCATTAATTCATTGGAAGCTATAACCAGGCTTTTAAAAATTAGGAAGGACTTAGATTGCTTTGTAGGGCAAGACTGACCACCTAGTTCACATAAACACAAGGTCATCCATTTTAAAGGCATTAATTAAAAAATGGAATTAATGAAATTTAATTTCTTTCTGCAGAAAGTTATTCACAGAATTATAGGCTCAGGACTTCAAAAGGACAAGCTGTTACAGAACTCTCAGATCCCTATGGGGACAATACAGCCAGAACATGGAGTTGCAGCTGACCTTAATGGTGGGGCCATTTTTCCAAAATAAATATATCAGAATTCTCTAAATGTACAACCTGATTGATAAATGAGAGCAGGACATTATCAGATGAAAACCAAGAATTAGACTGCCTCTACTTGTTCACAAGGAAAGCCAATCTAAAATTTCAAAGCTTTCTTA